TCCTGTTAAAGGTGAAGGATTTGGATTGCTCAGACAATTAAGAGCCCATTTTACCAAGTGTAATTTCATATCTGCGTTCTATAAACTGGAGTGCCTTCAGCATTGTAAATAAAAAAAAATTGCCCTCTATTAGCATGTTTGTGGGCAGATTAAAAACAGTCTTCATTAGCATAAGTAACACTTACAGATTCTTTTAAAAGTAGAAAATTATTTGTTGAATGATAAATTGCTAGCTTTCTAGTTAGTTGCTGAAAATGTGCTCATTCAAAATGCCTACTTTAGTTTAGTCTACAATACTCAATTTTTTTTTAGTTAGAAGTACTGTTTAATGGATTATGTACTTAGTCTTTGTTCACGGTAGATGCTGAAATGCAATTCACACTTTCTGCTAAAATGTTTGTATCAAATACCTTCCCATTTAGATTGATTTCTTTTAACACCATATATTTTTATAATACTATGCACCCCAGAGAATGATACAAAATAATCTTAAATATACTATAACCAAAAAAACCTGAGCATGTCTTAGCATTGATACTCTAAAATGTTTTCCCTTCTTAGATTTAAGTTATAGCCTTTCTAAAAAATGCTGAAAGCATTGTTATTCTTTAAGAAATATTCATCATTTGGCAAATTATTATCACTGTAACAAATTGACCAAACAAGTTCAATTGCTTCACCCTGTAGCCTTCCCTTCTCAGACTAGATGTGTTTGTTGCTGATTTGGAAAGCTTTGGCCAGAGAACATTTTTCATGATTGTAATGTTGTCCTCTTTGATGTAATTAGGGTAGGTATTTGCACCTTAGGTGTAGATTTTTTTTTCCTTTCTATAATAAAGAATGGAAGACTATTTTACTAGAAACTCTATGTAAAAGAGCAGAAAATTTTATATAAGCACAGGAGAGGTCTAACTGAAAAGAAAAGAATCTGGATGTATAGATAAAATGCATAGATGCTTTCTTTAAAATAAGTATGCTCATGGGTATTGCAGAGCCTAAGTTTTGGCAGTTATCCTCTTTGCGCTTTTCCTGCAATAGTTTGGCAGTTCGGCTTTCACAGGTTTTTTTCTTTTAATGTCTTGTGTTTCTTTACTAAATCCCTATCAGAAAACCAGACAGAAGACTCTTATTTATTTTAAATATCTTAGGTTTAGCATCTTTTTTTTTTCACCATTTTCTTGCTTACTGTAGCAAGACCTTTGCAGATGGTACTTGGTTACTTGAAAGTGCATAACAGTATTTTCTTTGTAGCAGATGGATTTAAGACTTTTAGTTCCCAATAAATGTAGGTTTACAATACATAACTTTACAGGATTTGTGTTGTATATAACAGGTTTGAACATATTATCTCAGAATTCATCTGCATGGCATTTTCAGCTTATCCAGGGCCCATGCCAGTATTTTAAGTAATAGGGAGAGCATAGTGATTGATAGCAGCTAAAGGCGTGATTTTGAATAGAAACAAAGGTTTTAGAACAGAAGGTGTCAAATTAAACTTTGTCAGTTTGAAAAGTAGTAACATCCTGAAAGTTCTCCAAACATATTTACATGTGGCTAATGTTTATATTTTGCTTTGTACTCTCTTTATATTCAGTGTAATGTTGCCTGGCAAATTTACTCTGTTTTAAAATCAAGGTTGTTCCCAATGTCATTGCAGAGTTTTTGGGGGGTTTGCCTTTCTGCATAAATGTATCAACTTCATTATTTTAATGCTGTTTTCTTAACAATGTACTCTATATGCTGTATAAAACGGTTGTGATCTAATCTGATTTGTAAATATTTCCTTATTATTTTGTGGTCATTTCCACTTCCTGTAAAACTATAAAGACAAGAAAAAAAGGAAACTAGGCAGAAATTGCTCTAGACTTAAAAAAGCATGAAAGGAGAAAAAACAGCCCTCTTACATTCACTTGCAAATTCAACTGCATTATCTGCAGCACTTCATACTTTTTTAGATCAAATGGAAACAAAAGTTATAAATTTTACAGAACTTAAAATTAACCATTAGAAAAGTCCAAATTATTACTTTTCCTAAATTTTGCAAAAATATTTCATACTTTCTCATGTAGGTGACTTTTATGAATGAGCTTTATTTCATATACGGAATTCTGAGCCAGAAACTAAATTAAATACTTCTATTTTTATTTGTTTATCTTGAACCAAAAGAAAATGTACTGGTATTAAGTTCTTACTCTCTTAGCAAAGTAAGCCCCTACAGCCTCTCTTGTCCATCCACTATCTCTTCTGAGAACACTGGTGAGATCAACTTTCATAAATATGTACAGAAATAAACCATGAAGACCTAAAAATTGTTTCTATCCTTGTAATTGTAAAATAATTCAGTTGTTTGTTTCCGTGTTTCCCACCAAATGTTTCATCAGAGTGTGTCTACTTCTTTAAAAATGTGCCAAGTTGAATAGAGACATTTTGGTAGAACAGTAATCTTTTCTGTGTACCCTGTCAGAACTATCTGTCTTCATTATCTCAAAATCCCTGAAAGGCTAGCAGAGACATGTTTCAGGTTACAATTCATCAAATAATTTTCGGTAAGGAATTAGAAGTATTATTTCAGTGCAAAATTGAGAGAAAAATATTGGAAATACAATGTTAGCTATCAGTAGTTAAAAAAAAAAAAGGTCTGACCTAGTAAATACAGAAACAGAAAAGACAGTAAAGGCAGAAGGTATTTCTTAGTTAACAAAAACTGTTGTGAAATACGTTTAATCAACAGAAAATGTTATTGCCTAGGAATTATTTTTTCTACTGGATTTTTTTTATTATAAAGGGTTTCTACTGCATTTTTAAGAAAAAAACAAACCCTGTGATTCCTGTGGTCAGCAGACAAAACATGTGCAGCTTCTAAATGCATGGTGCAACTTCTTTCCCAGCCTGTATGCCTTGGAGAGGTGTCATGGATGGAGACAAGTTGTCTTGTCTTTGTTTTTTTTGCTTCCACCAAACTGTCATGATAGACAGCTCTGCTCTTTGTTTCACCACTGTTAGAAAGAGAGCCAACAGTTTCAGTGTGAAGCAATGCAGATTCCAGACAACCAAAGGACAATTTTTACGCTTTAGCATGGGATGATTTGTGGCTTTGGGGTTCTTAAATTAAGAATTTTGTAACTGCCTTGAAGTTAAAATATCTAGATTAGTTTCTCTTCATCATCTTCTCTCCTCCGTCCCCAACAAGCTAGCTTTGCTTTCTGAGTGCACCACTTTTGACTTACTGCAATAAACAAACGCTGCTGTTGAGCATAATCCAGCACTCAGTATCCCCGTGGATGCAAGGTGAGCAGACAGCCATGAGCAACATGTTGTTTTTGTTAGGGGCAGGGAGAGCTCGCCCTGCTAATGCATTCCAGTGAGATTCCAGAGACCCTAGCTACTGTTTTGGAAACATGCCGTACAATTCCAGCCAGGACAGGCTGAGTGTTGTGTGCTCTGTGTGAAGGCATCTGGCCACATTTCCAAGTCACCTTGTTAAACACTGGGGCCATACCCAGCATCCCCACTTAGTGCACAGTCAAGGAATGGAGTGTGCTCCATCCCTAGGGTGTAGGGAAGTCCTTCTGCCACCCCTGCTCTCCCCTGTCTCCACTCCCTCCCTAGCACACCTCATGAACACCTGGCAGATTTTGGCCCCATTTAAATTTTTGCTTTTTCAGCTCTGCTACCACCATTCTATAACATCTGTCATTTTGATAGTTTCTTGGGGGCATTTTCTTCTGTGTCATTTGTTCAGTTTTTCACTTATATCCAAGCAAATATACCTCAAATTTTAATACACACCTCACTAAATATTTTCATATTCAATATGAATGCATTAACATTATTTGTTTACTTTTACTCTTCCTGCTGTGGCAATATTTTTACACTGCATTTATTAACTATTAGCTATGAGTATCTTCAAGAAAATACATATCTATATCATATCTATGTGTCTATTGTATCTGTTAGTAAACTAGTCTGGATAAACCATTAATCCACTACTACCAGTACATATAAAAAGGATCTAAAAGCTTCTGTACATTTATATTATTTGTTGATTCAATAAAATGTCACATTATCTTTCCTACAGCATTAAGAAATAAAACTGCATGGACCTATTTTTGAAAACAGATCCTTGAAGCTAAAATAAAGGAAATATGCATGTTTTATACATGTAATATTTTGTTCCTAAATTTTAATATATTAGAAAATTTCTGCTGATGCACACTGTCCTAGCTAGAGGGTTTACATTCCTCTTCTAGAACTACCAGTGCACAGTTAAGAAAAAAATCCTCAATTAAATTTTAAGAAGATGTAAGGTAACATTAAATTTTTGTGATGAACTCATATGTCTCTTTCGGAAGCAAATTAGCAACTGCTTCAGTTCTTGCAGAGGATTCTGTAGCCAGCTTCATATTATGTATCCCAAAGACTCTTAGGCACCTTTCTGTCCTTGATGTGGAAATGTATAAAGGGTGTACCAGAAGCTAGAGCACATCTTCCTTCCCCCAACCCCTAATAATTCTGTATGTAAAACTGAAAGACTGGGTTTTTTCTGAGTCTATGAGGACAATCTGGAAACAGTTATGTATCGCTTGAAATAAGTTCACTTGCAGAGAAACCTCTTCTTGTAGCAGAAATTAAGAAGTTATCCCTTGACTGCATCTAGTCATGGGATTCCTGTATTTTGAAGGCTATTAGGGAGTTCTTCTACTGCTATGATTTCCATTAGGCAGCCCTACGGCCAAGCAAACAAACAGCAGTGCTGTGGTGTGAGACCAAGGGGAAGGTGCTTTCTAAAACACCTGTGGTTGGTAAGGGTCTGTGAAATGGCTGGGCAGCCTCTCAGTGTATTGGTGTTTGCATTAAGCCTAGCCTGTGCAGTGGAAGCCCTTTCGATCAGGTGAGAGCATGAGAGAATGTGGCACCTCTAAATTACACATTTCACCCTAATTTTGCCCCTTGCAGTGTGACCAAAAAAGACCTAATGTTTTGCTGGTTTTATCTTCAAGGGGTGGCTCTGTGAGCTGTTACGTTGGAAAGAAGATCCATCACCAGAGAACAGGACCCTCTGGGAGAATCTCTCCATGATCCGAAGGTTCCTCAGTCTTCCTCAGCCTGAACGCGATGCCATTTATGAACAAGAAAGCAATGCAGTTCATCACCATGGTGACAGGCCTTCCCACATTATCCATGTGCCAGCAGAACAGATTCAGGTTAGTTTACCTTGGCCAATCCCGCAGAGCGCTAAGTAAATAAAGCTTTAAACGGAGCAAAGGAAATTAGCGTTTCTTCCCTCCCGGTCAGGCTAAACGCAGGTCTCCTGGTGCAAGATAAGAGCGCGCTGCCGTCCACCACCGCAGTTCAAAGGAGCCCGTGCGACCACCCACAGTTCTCGTTTCAGTTCGCTGGTTGTTTGCAAACATGTGTGGTGGCAGCTGTGTGCAGGGCAGGGCGAGCCCCGTGCTGGCTGTGCCTGGCTGGACAGGCACCAGGACCAAGAGGCAGGGCCCTGTGGCACCGGTGTCAAAGGTCTTCCCAACAGAGCAGGAGGACCTTGTGCTGCTACTTTTCGAAAACTAAGCAAGAACTCTCAGCAGTGGTGGCTCGTCCTGGGTAGGAGTGAAGGGAAGGGGATTCCTCATCCCATTTTAACCCCAGTTGAGACTGGGGCGAGTCAATATTTGTTTGTTTTTCCTTCAGAGCCCCTCTCCCACCACCCTTGGGAAAGGAGAGCATAGAGGCGCTTTCCTACCAGGCCTGCTGACCGCTGGACCTTGGCTGGGTGCTGCTCCGCAGGTGAGCCGGCACAAGGGCACCATGTCAGGGAGAGAGAGGAGGGCACGCAAGACCCACAAGACCCTCGCCATGAGGCTTGGAAAAGCTGCCCAGTGCTTCAGGGCAGCCCCAGCGGGGCCTCCTCTGGGAGCTGCAGGCACCCTTTTGGCTGGCACAGGCACTGCCAGCCGGGAGCAGAGCTGGCTGTTGTGCTAAGCTGTGTAGCCCAGGTTGTCAGTGGGGACTGATGTCTCTCTGAGCTGGCGACTCTTTAATCGCTTCTCACAAAAGGCCTGAGGTCAGCCTTGTAACTGCTCCTTCTTAAAGGGCAGATATTACCCCATGGTTTCCCAACCTCAGCTGAGACCCTGTTGTATCACTTGTACTACCTATATAGAAAAACATTTACAAAGCTAGGAAGGATAGAGTTATCTCGCAGCCAGAAACAACACAAGTGTATATTGAAGATAAAGCAAACTGAATAAGACAATCCCTTAGGATATCAAGTACTAAAATAATTGTGAAAGCCTGGAAACTTGCTGTTTGATTTAGCAAAAAGAGAGAGAAAGATCTATATTAAGTAATAAAACAGCACTTGTTTGAAAATGTACATTGTTTTTAATAAAATCGCTTCTTAAGGGGATAAAAGGAGAAGCTTATGCACAGTATAAACATTCAACCACTATGCCACTTACTTAGATTTTCTTGCCTTGTTGATAAAAGTTGTGTGTTTGATCTCATAAATATTATTCACATAAGCAGTTGCATTGTAATCTCTTAATATGACTTGTAAGAGCAAGGATTGGGAGATTGGGCCTGAGTTTTGTCTCTGCTCTTCTACATGGTAATTGTTGTAGATGCACAAATATGTAGCTTAGACACAAGTTTTCCAACTGTATATACAAAGCCTCCAGTCTTGTAAGAATTTAATGTGCTTGAATCTCTTCAGGACTGGAGCCTTGAATGGGACTGCTCACAGACCATAAAACATGAAAAGACCTGAATAAGGATGAGGAGGGAGCCCTAATTCCAGGGCATTTGTGTCAGACCTTAAAATATGTGTCAGACCTTCTAAACTGGTTGTGGAGGTATGTGCGAAGTCTCCACAACCACAGGAGTCTCTCTGAAGTGGACAGAATTATAATCCCTCCAGTATTTATACCATTTATACAGCATTTTGTGCTTCTTAGGGTCTCAAAGAACTGCTGCTAGAAGCCTGGAAACCACTACCAAAGCACTGAAAATTGTTGAAGGGAGACTCTCAAAGGGAAATAAAATGCAGTGATAGCAACTGCTTGTTTTGCCATGGTTGTTTTTTAATAATAACTGGTGGTTTGTACCATATGACATGAAATTTGCTGATCCAAAGTATCTTACTAACCAGTGCTTCCTGTGCTGTGCAGCAAAAGAATTGTCAACACAAACAGTAGCTGATAAATTTACTTTTGATTTTAAACATGATCTTATAGTGTACTGTACTCTGGTGGTAGATGAGAAAAACATTTCTGTCCCTAGGGCTCAGTGCCTCACCTTTTAAGAATGTTTCTGAATCCATGCTTGCAAAACTTCATTTTAAGCTCTTGTTAATTATTTACATCATGATTTGCTTTATCTTATTCTTCTGATGTGCATATTGGCTCATTTTTATTGCCTGAGTTTTTGGAATGCAGCATGTTCCCTTCTAATAATAATAGTGCAACTTATTTAGAGCTTTGCATCTTAGTGCTTTATAAATATTAACTAAATAATCCCCAGCACAAACACAGAGGCAGGTAAACAGGTCTGTTCCCTGTTTATTTGTTGGGATACGGGCAGCGCAGGCCTGCTCAGAGATCACAGGCAAGAGAGGTCAGATCCAGAAGGGGAAATACAGATTTCTTCCCTCCAGATCCCTTTGTCCTTGCCGAGGCTGGGTTTGACAGCATCACGTTAGGTGCTTCCAGCCAGCACATTCTGTCGTAATGTTTGCAAGTTTGACAAGACTTCAGTGCATGCTGAGGTCAGATCAGCAGTGAGATATTTCTGTACCTAAAGAGCTAAAATGCTCTCCTTCCCCCTGACTCCCCAGTCCCTTCGTCTAGCTATTGCTAGAGATTTGCAGCCCTTGTTTTTGGGCAGCAGCTGCCGTTGCTGGCAGAGCTCCGGCACGTTTGCCCTCATCTGGCTCTTTTCTCACTTTGTCCTTGCTACAGTTCTGGCTAAGCTGGTCAAGTTAATCCTATACTATGTCACCTCCTTAGCTTTTTGTCTTGTCTGCACTTGACTCGTGTTCATTAAAATTGGTCCGCTAAACCACACCAATGTTGTATCATTGGTGCTTTTGGTCCAGCAAACCTACGGTGTTATTTTTGTTCTTTCTTTTTTTTTTCCTTCTTTTTTGTTCTTTAAACTTACAAGGCCTTTATTTGTAGCTCTGCAATTTCTTCCCCCGCTCCCTCCCCAGGATTTTCTCAGTAACAAAATATGAGCGAGAATATATATACAAAAAAAATGCTGTTCTTTGTCTTGCAGCAGCAGCAGCAGCAACAGCAACAACAGCAGCAGCAACAGCAACAACAACCAGGTCCCAGACTACCCCCAAGGCAACCGACAGTAGCATCACCAGCTGAATCTGAGGATGAAAATCGTCAGAAACCCCGGCCGCGAACAAAGATTTCTGTTGAGGCCCTAGGGATCCTACAGAGTTTCATACAAGATGTGGGCCTGTATCCAGATGAAGAAGCAATCCAGACTCTCTCCGCTCAGCTTGACCTGCCCAAGTACACCATTATCAAGTTCTTTCAGAACCAGCGATATTATCTCAAGCACCATGGGAAGCTGAAGGACAATTCTGGTTTGGAGGTGGATGTTGCAGAATACAAGGAAGAAGAGCTGCTCAAGGATTTAGAAGACAGCATCCAAGACAAAAATGCAAACACGCTTTTTTCAGTTAAACTAGAAGAAGAGCTATCAGTAGAAGGGAACACAGAGATTAATGCTGAATTGAAAGACTGATCTAAAAGTATTATTTTCTTTCAACAGTGCCGCTGGTATTTACTAATGAAATGAAAATTCCATCTTGCATTGTGTCAAAAACCCTTATTATTCATTGTTTGGCCAATGAATCTTCCAAAACTTGCACAAAAGTTGAAAAAAAAGGATAATGCAGACTGCACTAGATGTTTTACTCTGTTTTACAAACTGCTTCGCAGCAACAGATGAAGCGTTGAGGATTGTTTGATATTAATTTGTGTTCACTGGATACACTGTGAGTGTACCCAATAAGCATGATACCAGTGATTTTGATTCTGGAGCCTTCAGACAAGCATTACAACTTTTGTGATTTACTGTTTTTTTTGTTTCTGTTTTGTTCTTGTTTTTTAATTATTACTGTAGCACTCCACACTTGATCTTTGAAAAATCACATTTATTTAAAAAAATAAAATAAAAAGAGTTTGTTACTCTTGTTCTATTGTATGTTACAAAAGAACTATAGACTGTGGAATGCAGTTTAAAGATAACATATGCCAACAAATGCCTTGTATTATATGGCACTGCCGTAATTCAGATTTGTTTTCTTTTGGAAATAAAGGTCACTGTATTTTTTTTCCATTCTCATTGTTACATGGTTTTAGAGAAAATGAAAAAGAAAATGTGAAACACAATTTAGTCCTCATTATTTATTTGTAGATCCTGCAGCATCATGTTGTAATTAATTTTTTTGGAAGTTTCCGTTAAATGTAATATTGCTTCTCTTGTTACCATACTGATTTTTTTTCTATTTATAAATGTATTTTGATGGGCAGTAAAACAAAGTGTCTTAAAAGTTTTAAATAGAGAAAATGTGCTTTACACAGTTGCCTATAAAAAGTGCTCTATGTTATCCAAGCAATTCATACTATAAGCTTCACTCTTATTGTTGTATGCAATTTTTACTATCATGCAAATAAGCTTAGGTAAATAAAACTAATAGATCACCTTAGAAACTTATGCAATTAATGTGAAAATAATTGATGTTTGCAATGTGTCTTCCTTTGGTTTACAATCAATTTTAAAGCTACAGCTGTATAAATTTTCTGTATAAAGGTGTATTTCTTTTTTATGAGTTTATTGCTATGAAAACACCAGTTATTTTGTTACAGCTGGCTGTTTTTATAAGTGTATCACAATTTTCTTTATGCAGAAATGTTCTGACTAGGAGTGGTTATTGACTGTAACTACACAATTAAAATTGTTTGTATGGTATGATATGGCAGGGTTTGTCTGCGTATGTGTATGTCTGGGAGGAATAACTTGTTCTTAGTGCACATCATACCTTCTTGCCACCACTTTGTTCTCCTTTAAAATCACAGGCAGATTTTTTTAATGACCTTCTTAAAATTTGAATTTAGATAACATACTTCAAAAAGAAACACAGTTTGGTTATGAAAATCATAACCTGTCTTTTCTTGGTTTAAAAACTTGCCTGCCCAACAGAGATAGCAGGATATTATTGAGTCAGAAGGCTATCAGGCATAAACATATTTACAGTTCCTGGCAGTAATGCACTTATAATGGATACAGCTGGTTTTATTTTACACTAGAATTATGCTAACACTGTTCCTTGCACTAATGTATAAACATTAAAAAAAACATTAATAGTCATAAAATAAATAGAAAAGATGGGCTTTGCCCATAGCAGTCTCCTTCTAAGCAAGATTATTTTTAATGATCACTAATAAGGTTCTTGATAATACCATAACAATTGGTGACCTCTGAATTTATGCAAGGCTCATATCTAGGCTAAAGAGCAGTCTGCAGCTAAAAGTTATGGAATGCACCCTCTTGTTCTCCGAGGAGAGAAATAGTTCACGCAGCGTGACTCGGGATGGGGATTCAGCTCAGTTCTTCCCGAAATGACTAAAAGTTTGCAAAACTCAACATGAATTTCAAAGGCACAAATGACTCTTGGTTTGGTTCCATTAAGTTCATAAGGAAATTTAGAACTGCTGCAGGTTGTCCTTTGTCTCAATGTCCTTGTGGAGCAAGGACATTGAGCAGCTCTCAGCTGCGGCACCTCTTGGCTTCTCCCAGGACTATGGTTTGGGCTTGGGATCGAGTCCAGTTTGAAGAAAAGCCTTAGTACCATTCTGGGAGGGAAATAAGCCTTAGGAGGGACACATACTTGTAATTTGGCATTGCATTCCAATAAAAAGGCAGTAAAACTATGCTCTCGCTTAAGGGACTTGTAGTAGCTATAAAACTATTGATAGCCCAAAGCTATGCTGGTCACTAAAAGGCAAAATTAGGCCTAGTCTAGGGAAGTCACTGTGATCATGATTGGATTTCTTCCCTTATTTCAAATGGCATTGTTGCTTTGTGCAGCCATGCAGGCAGAGCTAGGACTGACCCCTGTACACAGCTGAGGGGCAGGGTATGTAGCCCAGGCAATGCAAACTGTTTTGGTGGGCAGGACAATACTGCTGGCACCCTTGGGTACACTCTAACAATATGTGCATACACAAGGCAGAAGGGGAACCAAAGGAAAGACTTTCCTGGAATATACCTGTCTCCACACTAAATGCTAATACATACAGCACTCCAAATACCAGAAAGAGGGCAACCCTACAAGAGCATAAGAAGAAATGTTTATAAAGCAGTCTTTGCTATTTTGCAAGCAATTTCCTTTTCTTTTATAATTTTAAGTTTTATGGGTGCTGAAGTAGAGGCCTTGTGCTTGCAGATGATTATTATAGCTGTTTCTTTTCCATTATATTCGTTGTTCTTTCTCTTATTGTAGCTGAGGTTATCTTCCAAATGGTTCAGCCTCTGTAGTCACACATTACCTGCACAGGAGTTCAAGTCATTGCCTTTTTGTGTCCCAGTGGGTGGGCTGCAAGTACAGTATTTTAACTTGGCCTATGTGACCAAAAGCATTTTTGTTAAATCTTTGGCAGTGTTTTCAAAGGTGATATGGGTATTAAGGATTCCAGCTTTCTGTCAAAGCAAGATATTTGAACTGTTAGGAGTTCAGCTACAACAAGCATATGCCACCTTGACTCATGGACCAGTTAGACTACCTAGAAAATTACCTTATGTCCTTTTCTATTCCTAAAGTTCCTTTTTCTCACCATCTGGGGGAAACCTACCAAAAAAAAAAAAAAAAAACCAAAAATACAAACAAACAAACACACATTTCCACTTCAGCAAAGATTAAGAAATCAGACAGGAATTCTGTAACGAAGCACAAAAATTCAGACACAAAACCACTATTATTTGGGAAAGTTGTTAGTAAAATTCACTGAGTAGGGCATCTCTGAGTGTATGAAATGAGTATTTCATATATACTTGGGGAAGAATGGGGAAGGAGTATTACTAGGAATAGAATTTAAGCTGCAAAGAAAGCCAAATGCCTAAAAAAAAAAGAGTGGAATGGGTGTAGGGAGGGGATGGCAGGACTTAGATTTTACTATAAAACTTATTTACTATGTTTTTTGGTGTTTGCAATAAAAAGTGGATCATTTTTTTTACTCCCTGACGATTCCCATTATTCTATATTTAACTGACAAGGTTTATATGTATATGCTAGAATCCCCAGTGTGTGGTTTTCCACCCTGAAAGAAACCCAAATAGGCCCCAGATTCCAAGAGGTTCGTGGCCTGGGGACAGTCTCAAGCCCCAGTCACATCCACAAGTTGCTTATAATTATAAAAGATTCCCTACCCTACGATGCAGGGGTTTAGATTTGTGTTTTGTACAACTACTTAAATTGGTAAGATGACCCAACAAAAATTGTCCATGCATAAAAGTAAATTACTACTCTTACATTTTTTTTTTTTAAGTTGGGAAGGTGCAGCAAATGGAGAAAGGAGAAGGTTCCTCCAAACCAGTGATTTTGCTGCAATGATTTACAAAGTCAGTGCTTTGATTGTGTGCTGGGAAAGTACCAAATATTACTAAGTTCATTTGCCAAAGCAAATGCTCCATATGTTAAGCACAGTATAAATTAGATATTATAGAGGCTCTACTAGAACATCAAGTATTACCAATTCTGCTTAACTTATTGAACTTGTGCTTTGAAGTCAGGTACATTGCAGAGACCAAAGGTATTTTGATTTTTACATAATGATTTATATTGTGCTTTGAATAACAGTCCCATAGCAAAGCAGGGATATAAATATACTCCCAGGCCTTTTTTTGCACACAGAGGTAATTTAGGTTGGTCTCCTCACAGTGCCTTGCGTCCACACACTCTTTTACTACAATAAATGAGCTAATAATTCAAACTGCAATAAGTGATCCTCCTTGGAGCAGGAGTAGTGCTACTTGGCAGTGAGTTTGTTTGCTTTCAGGTTCATTCGGGAGCCTTCCCGCCCGCTCTGCTGCTGGCAGCCCTCCCACTATCTCACGCTGTATTGTTTCATCTTGGCCTGACCCAGGCACTCTTCCTGCTCCAGGTCATCTTGGCCAAATATCATCTCTCCTGGTTGTACTCCGTGACTCAGGTGTGTGTGCCACAGTTTAATATGAGGCAGCCAGGACTGCGTGTGTCTGATGTCACCTACCCTTTGTCATCACCTTTCATGCTGTGAGCCCTTGCAGAGCTGCTAGAATAAGTCACTTGCATTGGAAAGAGTGGCACCTGGAGCAAACCCACAGGAGACAGGTTGCTTCTGAACTGATGGAGTGGAGGGGCAAGGGGACATGCATGCTCCAGAGGGGAGAAAGAAGGAAGATGCCAGAGAAAGATGAAAGGATCAGAAAGGTCACAATAGCTTACCCTGCATGGGGGACTGAGCTTTTTTGCAAGGCGTGCTGTGGCAATACTCAAAATATTACAGAGCATTGCCAAGACTCCATGGAAAATGCACACTTTTCTCCAGTTATGGGATTTTCCCTGTCAGGCAATATCTAGTTTAACACAAAAACCTCCTCAGCTGTCCATGGCTAAAGAGGTACCCTATCAGTTTGTCTTCTGGTACCATCCCTGTGCATAAGATATGCAGGATTCTTTTTTCCAGCTGCTGACATGTTACCATGGCAGATGCAGCTGGTACTCTCTTTCTAGGTTACTTGCTTACCCATAGAATGTGCTAAAGTAGTATCCAGGCTGTAAACCTTCTCATTTTCTTCCAGGAACACATCCAAACACTAGCAGTGTGTTTGCAGCCTCAATCCTACATTTTGGAGCTTGGGCCAGATGTGCCACAGTAAATATGTTATATAGCTCAGACGTTTATCATAGTGCAAGAGAACAGAAAAAACATGACTTTTGTGGGTGCAGAAATGTATAAAGCACACACAGTTCAGAGGTTTTGGAGCAAGTAAACTGCCCCAAGAGGCTTCAGAGAGAGATTTCATACTGGTGTAGTCATCTAAAAATAATTGCAATGATTGGGAATTGTTGGGGCCAGAAAAATTAATGTGCAATCCTACTATATTTGCACAGGACTGTCTGCCTGAACAGAATTTGAAACACAGGGCACTCTGTTTAGTTATTTGCATTACAAAATAAACATTCTTTGCAGTACAAACCTTGTTGCTCTTCCACATCTACACTCAAGCAGGACCCTGTCCTTCTAACAAGCAGCACTGCCTCAGCTATTTGTCCCTCATGTGTGCCCCATCTCTAGGGGGTTCCCCTGAATGTGGCATGCCCCAAAACAGCTTAACTTTTCTTCACTCTCCCATCATCAACCATGGCCTTTCATCTGCATTTTCACCTGGGGAAAGCAATTTAGAAAACAACTTACCTCAGAGCAAACCAGGGCAGAGAAAGGTAAACTAGGCTGTCTTTTCACAAGGGAAGGAAAAGTGATTCTTTATCATTAACAGCATGGCAGCTTGCACTGTGAAATAAGGAGATGTGTTGTTGTTGTTGTTGGCTTGCCTTAGTAGGAAAAATGCTATATCCCCAACTTGATAAGGATTTAATACCAGCTGGAAGAAGAGTAAAGAAGACAGAAGAGGAGGAAAAGCAAGTGAGAAGAAATATCTAGATAAAATCTTATTGGGGGCAGTCATGCCTAGAGATGGCTGGAGAACTACAAGACTAGTTTAAATTAAAGGAAATCTAAGTTAGCCAGAAAGAAAAACTAAGTGAGGACCACTTTGTGGTTCACATACTGGATGTCCTGTGAAAATGGGGAAAGAGTGAACAGTAACAGAGTTGTTTCAGAGGGGAGATTAAGTAGAAAAGGCTTGTAAAAAGGCAGCTCAGCTTGCTGCGCAACCATAATGCATAGAAGGTGAATACAGAAAGAAAATTCAA